TAAAGTTTTAAACATATTAAAAAATTTTACGCTCATTATTACTAGAGGTTTCGAAGTTGAAATCAAGGCATATTCACTGCCAAAAGTCAGTTAAAATTTTTCCATATTATTTGTTATTTCTTATCTTATTCAAATTCCAAATTTTCTCTCAAACTGTATACTTTTTTTTAGTATAGATAGTATTTATTTACCTCATGATATGCTGCAAAACCTAATTAATCACCAATTTCTAATTTTATGTACTTTTGTCTCCGATTGTACCTCCCAAACATCCTTAAAGAGTTATAATACCAAATAGTTTCTTATTAACCTACCGAAAGCTTTAATATCATTACAATCGATTACATTAGCAGTATTAGTAGATAGCAGAGCTAATTGTTTTTACCGAAAACAATAGTTAATTACACAAGATGAAATAGACGGGAATAGGAGACAAAATTAAACAAACAACATGGAAAATGCCACCTAACGAAGTAATTTTTATTATTAAAAGGAAAAAACAAATTTGTTAGCTTATTCGTAAAATATCACCTAGTTCGTAAAATAAAAATATAAATAAATATAAAACGTTAACAGAAAGCCTTCTGATTAGTTTTTATAAATAAAATACAATGCATACTATCAACATTAAATAGGCAATTAGAAAAATAACAGCAAAGAAGGGAAAAAATATTCTTTTTTGTTGTATACTAATGTACTGTCATACAATTTATGTTTGTTGATTTTTTATTTGATGAAACGTGGAAATAATTCATGGGAGAATGGTTTTATTACTAATTAAACTCATACCACCATTTTAAACATTATTTGCGAGTAGTTGAATGGTGTCAACACACATCTTTTTTTTCTATCGTAGACTAACTTAAAAATACATTGTTTACTTTGTTTTAGCGATGTAGGTTTTAAGGAAATGAGTGGATCATAATTGCACCTTTGGTGTTAAGTTAAAAATAATGACAGCTTAGAACTGTATAAATAATTATTATTGTTCTTATGTAATCAGTTCACAGCTAAAGAATGATTAGTTTGAGATTGTAGATATTGAAGCACATATTGACCTGCAATTCAATTTTTCAGTAACATTAAATGTACCTATCTGCAAATCTACATAAAATAGACGAATGCATTTATAAATTAGCAGATAAATTTATCGACTATATTTACTCCTTGTTGTTTTAAAAAATTATTCATTAATGTGACAGTTTATATTTCAATTTTAATATTTATAGGGTCTACAAATCTCGAAAATTATAACTTTTAAGTGTTTTTATGCGTTTGGAAGAGTTATTGCTTATATATAAGATAAGAAATGCAATCTACATAAAGTATAATTATAACTTATAGAGTGTTGATTTAGTAATCTTAATATTTGAAAGAAGTACGTATCTTGTTAATTGTAAAAAGAAAATGTAAATAATTTAAATTAGATCGTGAAAAACTTTCTTTTGAAGTGGCATGCCATCTCGAAATCATTCGGAAAATGCACAGCTTCAAGCGGTAGGTTACAGACAATGAGAGAAAAGTTTTACTTAGTTGCGTCTGTTTACTAATAGGGGACAGGACGTGTCTGCATATTAACAAGAATATCTGTATATTATCTGCACAAATACGTTTGTAGGTACATCAATAAAAATTGAATTATTTTTATGGGGAAGATAAAATTTTGTAGCTGTTTTCTTAATTGTTAAGTAGCGTGTACTATAAATTGCAAAATAAATTTGTAAAAATATTGGATGTCTTCTTTAAGAGAACGACAATAAGACAAAGGACTTAAAAACATTTAAGAAAATTGTGTTCTGAATGCGATTCGCAGGGACCACCGACTAACTTCCCAGCGGAAAGTAGAAAATACTATATGCTCATTTTATCATTATTTTTATTACTATTACATTATTCATATGCATTCGATAGCTTTTCTTATAATAATTTTTGGACAAATGCTCCCAAGATGCAATAATAATAATATTACTCAAAAGATGTTTGGATTCTGCATCAATAAATAGTACAATTTATAAATTACAAAATTCAGTCAGTTTCAGTTTACCTTTTTGTTTAGTTTTTTAATTTTTCAAAAAAAAAAATGGAAACATTTCTACCAGCCTTATTTCTCTAGATTACTGTTTCAGTTTCTTAATAAATATTTGCCTAATATTTTCTTTTAATTAGACCATTTTAGGTTTGTGAATGGTTTGGGTATAAAATATTCAGAACTTTAGCAAAAGAAAAAATCAAGAAACAATTACAATATACTTCCAGTGCCGAGTCTAGGGTATCTTCCTCCTCTTGGTGTAGATAACAGGATGTTTGCCGCCCCTTCAGTTAGCCAGAAATCAGCTTATGGGGACCCGGGCCGTTCTAAATTTAAGACGTGGAGAAGGGAAAAGTAATAAACTTTACAATAATTATATTGCCCGGACCTCAAGCTTAGTCGGTCATTGTCCTTTACATCTCTTTTTCTTCGTCCGCCAAACGCACAATTCGGAAAAAAAATCATCAATGGTAAAACGCGTTTGGCGATGAAAATGGTTTTTATCGTTTATATAATTTTGTTAAAAATCTTATGGCGTCCCTGTGGCTAATACGTAGTAGCCACCGAGTACACTTAGTTTGTTCTAATTCATTCTTTTTGTCAAATCGTAGCGCTAAGTTTTAAAAATGTCAAAACACTTTTAATAGTTTCTTTATTCGTTAAAAGTAGAAAATCTTCTTCACTATTTTACACAAACCAACAGTAAATCGTAAAAACAGTCTGTGGTCATTCGGTTTTTTTTTTTATAAAAAGAATAGTCTTATTAAAAAAAATTAGTAACATATTTGTAAGTAAAATATATGATTCGGGTAAAAAAAAACAAACTTTTTTGAAACTTCCATATGGAATAAATCGAATAGGCAATAAATTTTGTTACAAATTTGACCCAAAGCAATATAGGCAACGGAACAAGTAAAACGAGATAGTGAGAAATTGCTTTGTTTCTATATTGTCTTTGGGAAAACAAATTTGATTGAACGACTGACTTTTTTCATTCAGACAGGGTAGGACAACAAGAAAATTAATGAAATTATGTCAATAACGGCGCCAACAGAATCAAATTAAGAATAGCGAACAGAGAAGTTCTGCACTTATTTGGGTCGAGTTAGAACGAAAACGAATTCGGAAAAGCTGTCTTCAGGCTATCACTATTGTAAACTTATGTGCATAGATATCGGAGTATACCAGTGTACAAATAGATAATTTTTGGCAGGGATGAACACAATGAATTGATATAATAGGGCACATATTGTGTAATAGACAAAACCATCAAAATAATTTAAATTTGTAATGAACAAACTGGATATCGGGATTCTAACGTTATCTTATTGATGAAATCGCAATGACGGATCATGGTGACATCAAGAGTTGAGACTGTCTCCTATCACATAAGGCATCCTCAGGAACTTCACTGAATACGTCGAAACGTCGAATACTTTTAACTATCTGTCATGGAGATTTCGGTTAGAATCCGGAAATCCAGTTTATTCAGTCGACAGCCGTGAAAGCCTAAATCAACTTTTAAAGTAATGTAATCGAGACTGTCTGTGGCGTGCTGCTGAGGTCAAATGAGACCGAAAATGCGATCCACGTTTGGTAGCTTTGATAAATAATTGATCAACAACTTAATTCCTTGTTAATAGCTTGTTTAAGGTTATATCATTTTAATGTAATTGCAAAAAGCAAAAAAAAATAATTTCTTATAATTCACGTAAAAACAATAATTAATTTGATGTTAAAAATTAAGGATCCTGACAACAGGTTTTAAGCTTCCTCCGGGATGCATTTAAGCATTCTAGAATACAATTCGGCACCTGTGGCTGCACGAAAGATTATCTGTGGAATATTACTACCTCAGCAT